GCGGTGGCGACGGTGCATAGTGGAGCACAGAGAGGCCTGGGAGGGTCAGAGTGAGCGAGGAGTGGGTTGGGTGAGGGAGGAGTGAGCTGTGCGAGTGAGGCGCTGGCTGGGTGAGGGTGGCGTAGGCTGAGTGAGGGAGGAGTGGGCCGGATGAGTGAAGCATACGCTGGGTGAGGGAGGCGTGGGCTGTGTGAGTGAGGAGTCGGTTGGTGAGGGAGGCGTGGGCTGGGTTTGTGAAAAGTGGGCTGGGTGAGGGAGGCGTGGGCTGGGTGAGGGAGGCGTGGGCTGGGTGAGGGAGGAATGGGCTGGGTCTGTGAGAAGTGGGCTGGGTGAGGGAGGCGTGGGCTGGGTGAGGGAGGCGTGGGCTGGGTGAGTGAGGCGTGGGGCAAATGAGGGAAGTGACACACGAGGTAAACAAGGCAGGCGAGCGAGACAGAGGGAGAGGTAGAGACAGAGCGACTGAGACAAGAAGCAAGCAACGCAGAGGGAGACAGAGGCGGGGAGAGCCACACGAGCTTGACAAAGTCGTGGGTATGTGAGGAAAGCTCAGAATGGGCCAAGTGAGACTCGGGCCAAATGAAACGTGGGCTAGAGTGAGCTGCGGGGCGAGGGAAACATGCAGCATGCAAGTTGAGAGTGACGGCTAGCGCATTGCATGTAATGCAGACGCTACTTTACTCAGACTAAAGGGTTTCATACACAAGGCCTACACCAAACATTCGTGTTTATTTGGGGGATGCAGAAGAGATGAATTTGTCTAAGAGTGCAGGGACTATACCGTGGACATGCTAGACTAGCGCACCTGACTAAAGCTGTTATTTGTGAAGCCTCTATACACATATGTAAACACATAACCGAAATTTACACTATGAGATCTCTTTTACCAGTGGCAAAATATAGTAGTAGGTTTTTTACCCTTTTAAACTGGTACAAAACTGACACCTTTATTCAAGGCATCATGTTTGCAATAACCACAACACAAGTAGTCAAAAAAGCAAACAAAAAAAAAGCAACTCTGATAATGATAATAATATGCACTGTCCTTGAAGTTGATTGGTCCACACCCAAGACGGCTTTCTTTAGAGCCTAGTCCCCATTGGTGTTGGACCAGATGACACCAGAACGTGTACAACTCAAACACAGTGCAATATCAGAGTATTGAGAGCTCGGGGTAAGCATTTACACTATGAGATCTCTTTTACCAGTGGCAAAATATAGTAGTAAGTTTTTTACCCTTTTAAACTGGTACAAAACTGACACCTTTATTCAAGGCATCGTGTTTGCAATAACCACAACACAAGTAGTCAAAAAAGCAAACAAAAAGAAGCAACTCTGATAATGATAATAATATCCAATGGGGACTAGGCTCTAAAGAAAGCCGTCTTGGGTGTGGACCAATCAACTTCAAGGACAGTGCATATTATTATCATTATCAGAGTTGCTTCTTTTTGTTTGCTTTTTTGATTACTTGTGTTGTGGTTATTGCAAACATGATGCCTTGAATAAAGGTGTCAGTTTTGTGCCAGTTTAAAAGGGTAAAAACCTACTACTATATTTTGCCACTGGTAAAAGAGATATCATAGTGTAAATGCTTACCCCGAGCTCTCAAGACTCTGATATTGCACTGTGTTTGAGTTGTACGCCTTCTGGTGTCATCTGGTCCAACACCAATGGGGACTAGGCTCTAAAGAAAGCCGTCTCGGGTGTGGACCAATCAACTTCAAGGACAGTGCATATTATTATCATTATCAGAGTTGCTTCTTTTTGTTTGCTTTTTTGACTACTTGTGTTGTGGTTATTGCAAACATGATACCTTGAATAAAGGTGTCAGTTTTGTACCAGTTTAAAAGGGTAAAAACCTACTACTAACATAACCGAAATGTATTGCATATCATTTGCCTGAGTATGTAAAAAATGTGCCTATGGGCCTCTATGTGTGTCTGTGTGTGTCTGTGGGTCTCTGAGCATGTCTGTGGGTCTCTCTATGTGTGTCTGTGGGTGTCTGAGTGTCTGTTGGTCTGTGTGTGTGTCTATCCGGCAAAAACAACCCCCTACCTCCTCGTGGTGCCGGACGGGCAACATTGTGATGGACAGTGCTGTGGGGGGGAGGGCCAATTCCGATTGGCCTTTCCTCTCAGGGCGTTTGTAACCACCAAAGCGGCTAAATGGGGGCTCTGGACGGGTGCGTGGGGCTGGTAACCCCTCCACCTTCAATAAATTACCACAAAACCACGTAAAAATATCTAATTAATAAGCTTGTGCCGGAGGCCCCGGGGAGACAGGCGTTTATGCCATTTCCTGGCCAAACCCCATTTGGCGGAGCCAGGAGATTGAATCTTTACCCTCGGGGCTCCTCCAGAAACAACAAAAAGCCACCACGGATGGCCACGTGGAATGTTCGAATGCTCACTGCGGAGGAGAGGCTGCCACTCCTCTGTCGGGAGCTGGCACGGTACCGCCTGGATCTCTGTGGTATTCAGGAGGTCCGGTGGACCGGCTCTGGCTCCTGCCACCATGAGGGGTGGACAGTCCTCTACTCGGGGCAGGAGACTACCAAACAACAGGGAGTGGCTCTTCTTCTGAACAAAAAAATGAAGGGGACGTGGGAGCGTGGCGGTGAGGCGCGGGAAGCTGTAAGGTCCAGGCTACTTTGGGCTCACCTTCCCATCAACCAGAGGCGAGGAGTGGTGGTCGTGGTTACTTATGCCTCCACCGAAGATGAACATCCGTGGAGCGATGCAGGCAAGGCCGATGAGCCTTCTATGACCTCCTGTCACAGGCGCTAGCTAAAGTGGCCCCTCGGGATAGAGTCATCTTGTTGGGTGACTTCAATGCCCGAGTTGGTCATGATGCTGGCACCTGGCCTGGAGTGATTGGAAGGCATGGGCCAGATCAGCTCAATAACAATGGTAGGAGGCTGCTAGATTTTTGTGCAGCCCATGGGCTTGTAATTACCAACACGCTGTTCTGGCATCGGCGCATCCACACAACATCATGGATGCATGCCGGGTCCAAGCAAGAACATATGCTGGACTACACAGTGACGGAACAGCGGATGCGGGCCCATGTCCATGACACCAGGACCTACCGTGTACTCCGGTGGTGGGTGTACACCCAGGACCCCATTCAAACCTAAGGTGGCCTGGTCTCTGCTAGCTGATGGAAGTTGCAAGCGAGAATTTCATCATCGCTTGCGGCTGGGGTTGGTATCGTCCCCCACTCTTCCAGATGTTGAGGGTAAATGGGCGAGGTTTAGGACTGTGACTCAGGGCAGCTGCAATGACTGCTTTGGGTACGCGGTCCAGACCTCCCCAGAGACCCTGGCTCAGAGAGGAGGTGTTCAGGATGGCTGAGAAAAGACAACAGGGCCACTCTAATCGTCTACAGCATCCCACGTCAGAGAATGAGGAGGCTTACCGCAGCCTTCGCTCGGAGGTTCGGAGAGCCGTGAGGAGCTGCAAGGATGGGTGGTGGTCGCGGGTTGCGAGGAGATGGAGTCTGCCTCAATGGCCCGCGATCACAAATCCTTATTTAACTCCATCAAAAAAGTAACCTGCAACACCACACCTATTACCATAATTAGGGCAAAAAACGGTGATCCAATCTCCGACCCCCTGGAACAGGTTTGCAGATGTGCATTTCTGTGAAGTCCTGGGGGAGGGGAAATCCCTCGACATGGAAACATCGTGGGACAAAGTGGGGATGACCCTGCTGAGGCTGCAGTGCCTCAAATATTGGAGGAAGAAGTCACCCCCTGTGAGTGGCTGGCTGAGGTGCCATCTGTTGAGGAAGTACTGAAGGCGAACCAGAGTCTGAGACCAGGAAGGCACCGGGCAGAGATGATATCCCAAGAGAAATGCTGAGGGAGGGTGGCGTTTGTGCACAGACTGCCTTACATGACATCATAACAACAGTCTGGATCACTGGATGGGTTCAGCAGGATTCGAAGGATGCCCTTGTGGTCCCCCTCCTTAAGAAGGGGGACCGCACAGACTGTAACAACTACAGGGGCATCTCACTTCTCAGTGTGAGGCCGGGAAAGGTCCTGGCAAGGATTATTCAATATCGCTTTGCCAGGCACACTGAGGAGAGGCTTGCGGAACCCCAATGTGGTTTCAGGAAAGGGCGGTCCTGCACAGATGCTATATTTTCTGTCCGTTTGCTACAGCAGAGGTGTAGGGAATTCCAACAAGACCTACATCTCTGCTTTATTGACCTGGTCATGGCCTATGATACCATGAGTAGGCCTGGGCTGTGGGTTGTTCTTCATGCTTTTGGAGTCCCTGACCCTCTGCTCACGATAATTAAGGACCTTCATGATGGTGAGCGGGCCCGGGTAAAACTACGTGGCCGGGAGTCGGAGCCATTCCCTGATACAGGAGGATGTGGAGCTGAGTCGACTTGCTGATGACTGGTACCAGCGGTGTCAAGATCGGCCTCTGTGGAGGAGGCTCATGAAAGACGCCTCTGGACAGTTGGAGGCAGTCGCCCTCCTACAACAACGGAGGGCGGAGGAACGATGCTCACAACAACGAGCGGAACGCCGGGTGGTTAAAGCACAGCAAGTTGGCACAGTAGGGGGCACAGGTAGTGCATTAGCCAGTCGTCTCAGTCAGTCGACCTGTGGCACCTAGGTTTGCCCTGTGACCTCCTGCCAGCGGGCGTTCAACACTTCACGTGGCCTCAAGGTGCACATAGCCTGGCACAAGCGTTGTGGTGACATCACAGCCACTTAGTGGCAAATGGTGGTTGTTATTGTGTCTATGGGTCTCTGAGCATGTCTGTGGGTCTCTATGTGTGTCTAGAGGTATATCTGCGAGTTAAATAAATAAAGATGAATCGTTGATTCCTTCTGGAACGCAGTCACAGGGTTCACATGGTCACTCTCATCATGGCATTCCGAGGCGTTCAGGCCCTATTTCCACCACCGTGGGTGCCACACCAAACATCATGCAATCAGCATTCATCTTCAGCAACGTTTTTGGATTATCTGCCCTTACCTTATATATCTTTTGTTCGGCAGCTTGAGAGCCTAAAAGGAAAACAGCACAAACTATGAGGACACGATGCGAATTGAGCAACCCCTCCTGAGAGGCATTTACACGGATAGTGAGAAAGGAAATGCACTTTAAACTCGGCTTTCAAAAAACAAGCCTACGAAGAACTTCCCCTCACTGTAGGCAGTGGCGCTGCCCATCTGCAGCGCACCACACCCCACCTCCAGGGCGCTCTCAGCTCGTCGCTCTCTTCCCGTCAACGATCGTATTTCGTCCCCCATAGGCTCAACCCCCCATTAGCGTCAATCGCCGAAGCCATTGCCCCATTCCTCCCTCTCTGGGCCCGGCCTCTACTCTGTTGTTAAGTTAGCCGGTGGAGCTACTAGGTAGAGCTACTAGGTAGAGGTAGTAGGTAGAGCTACTAGGTAGAGCTAGTAGGTAGAGCTACTAGGTAGAGCTAGTAGGTAGAGCTAGTCAGTAGAGCTCGTCGATAACGCTCGTTGGTAGAGCTACTCGGTAGAGCTAGTCGGTAACGCTACGGATGCGGACGGAGCGTCACCTTCAGCGTCGGTGAGCTGGGCCTGAGGCAGGTCCTCCGCATGCGGCAGCGAGAACACTCGAACCTTGCCATCCGAGAAGGCCGCGGCTAGAAGCCCCATTCGCGCCATTCGTGGCACCTGCACAGCAGTAAAGACGAGCATGGGATGCCACTTTACACAGCAGAAAGGGCTGTGGATTGACTAACAACCCTCTGCGCTACCAACTTTGAAAGGCGTAGTCCACGCTTAGGAGTGGCAACTCCACAATGAGAGCTCAAATTAAGTTTTCTGGCATACAATTTTTTTTGACGAAACTTTTTAGGGATCCACAAAAATTATGGGAGGAATTGCAGAGGCCAGGCGATTCACATATCACCTGGAATCTACACTACAGATAACAGGGTCTGTGAATAGGAGGATGATGATGGAACAAAAGCAGTTCTACTGTAATGATACTCAACACTGGTGACATCTCTTCAGATGTGCATTTACTGGCTGTGATTAAAATCAAACGCACAGTTCTGCCGTACGTTGTGGTTCCTGGCCACACCGTCACCACCGGCCTTTGGGTGCTCACTAACAGCACTCATCCCTACGCCCCGTCAAACCGCCAACAGTCCGTCATACGTCACCGCACTCCGATCTCCTGTATGTTGAACTTCTTTTGCACCGTACGTAGCCAACCGTGCTAATAGGAGGTGTACGTTTGTATATAGCATGGATTCTTCTAACTGCAAACAGAGGTAGTCTCATCCATAATCGAGGTATTTTTGGGTGAGATCGCGTAAATAAAAATGTCGTTAAACCCGCCACAGCCAATTAGTAAGGTTTGACAGTCATAATTGTGGCTGTCACCCTTTGAGACTGGTTGTAATTACCATTGAAACATTGTACTCGAATTGTAAATTTTGTGGGATTTCCTCTCCAACACTAATTGGCATGTTTTGTTTACGTGACAAACCTTACTAATTAGCTGTTGTCGGGTGGTGACGGGTTTAACGACACATTTATATTTACGCGATCTAACCTAAAAATCTCTATTATGGATAATATTGGCCGCGAAAGCCTCCTAATATGTGTTAAAGGTAATCTCATACCTTCACAGGGGCAGTGGGATCTTCCCATGACCCACTTGGGCAGAACTTCATATCCCATATGCATCCAAAATCAAGTGCCACTCCATACGCCAGTGCTGGTTGGAAAAGTGACCTGAAAATAGATAACGACGCACACAACCGCTGAGATTTCACGTGACTAAATGCCCCGTGATGTGGTAAAGTCTAGATTTGTATGCTTTCAGATCAAAGCATGGTTTGTATTTACTTTTCAGCGTTAAAAAAAGAAACGACCATTTCCCGCCCACACGTGCTTAACATAAACACTGTGCGTAGCTGCTTGCGGTGAAAGATAATTGGATTTCCAACAAGGCAGAATGGCCTGGCACATTTATTCTGCTACCCTGGGAATCTCAATGAGTCGTTTTAGTTCTAGCTGATTTAGTATCAATGCCCACACCTTCAGAATGTGAAACATGGCAACTATGTATGCATGTGGAACTTTTTTCGCACCAATATCTGTGAAAATAGCTTCGTAGCTCATCTGATTCTGATACACACACGCTAGTTGTCGGGATACTCCATACATGGATCTTGGAGTTCAAATGTTGACTTTACCTGACCTTTACATACAATTTTTATTTGATATTACCATCGATATGAAACCACGTCTATATTCCATGGTCTGTGGCTGGTTGTATAAACATCTTTCGAGAAAATGTTGCCGAGTCTGCATTGATTTAGAATGAAAAGCGAGGAAAATGTATATTTAGTAGGTCTTATGCAACCAACCTTGTGTGACTTGTCGTGACTGATCAAATGTCGATTCCCTGAGACAGCTAATAGCTAAACCCAGTCCAGGCTCTCAACTTTCACAAATCTGCACTGACCAGCGTGAAGTAAAATCATACGCACACATACAACAAACAACAACCACCACCATTCACCACTAATTTTGGGTGATGTCACCATGGCTCGTGTGGTGATGTTGCTGCTTGGGCTTGACCAGCCATCTCGGGTCATTTCGGACTGCTGGAAAATTTTCGTTGGTTTGGATACCGTCTGGGAACTAGCTGCTAAGTGTATGCTCAACTTAAGCTCCTTGAAAAGAAAAAAAACCACACGCATCTTACCAACTCAGACAACACTGCCAGAACAAATCACACGTAAGACACGCGTGACGCGTTACCTCTTTGTACTCTGCAACGGTCCCAAATTCCACACCTGCAGTAGGGCCGGCTCTCTGTGGATCTGATTGAGTTTGTGCAGATCCAGGGCACTGCTGTTGGCGTAGAGTGCCACATGCTGATTGGACAGCGAGCCGTTGGGCGTGGGACCCCAGTCCAGGGACCACACGGGGCCCCCAACAAAAAAGTTTAAATCCCAAGCGCGGCTATCCAACGGCAGTGCTTCAAACCTGTAGGAAAATTAGGGTGCAACATTCATTTAGCTAATACACTTTCCCCCCCATTTTTTAACTATGAATACAAATGAAAAAGTAGACTGCAAACAAACGAAATGGACAACTTTTAACGAAGTGTACAGGTCAATAAAATGACGATCCTTTAGTTGAATATTAACTGTGCATTCATAACAAAGGAAGACAAATCATGCATATAAGTGGATTCCACAATGCTTTGTGAACATGTATTGTAATTAATCCATTGCTACCTGCTATGACATGTGGATCGAAACATGGACATTGACAACGGAGATAAAATAAGATAGAAAGTGTGGAATTAAGTTTGGAGAGGTGCACACTTGGCATTATGCTGAGACAGAATGAGCAGCACATAGCCAAGTGATGTATTTTTTTAATCTCACATCACTTAGTGCAAAAATACATTTACATCGGGCCCTGTTCATCCTTAAAATCTTTATTGGCAAAATCCGCACTTTACTTCGCCAATTCATTCATCTAATTGTCAAACCCGAGAAACCAACGACGTCCATCTAACTGCCTTTTTATTATCCCTAGAACAAGAACTGGAATAGGTGACAAAGCCTTTGCCATTGCCGCACCGTCGTTTTGGAGCGACCTTGTTTCCTCCCCTTAACATTGTAAATCAATCTTGAAAAAAATATCCTGAAGAAAATTGGTGCTAGATACAAACACATTTCCAAATGTGAATTGTAACTTTGATCCTTACCCGTATATCGATAGTTCAATGTTAATGTGCAATTTTATTCAGGGACTACTCGGTGTTGTCTTGGTGCGGTCTGGGACTGATTATATTGTTGCCTTGCCCCAAGCTTGCATTTAGCGTTGAAAAATCGGCAGGAATGCATGTGTAGTGACATCGGGGATGTCACTGTATGGTGCTGGCCCGAGAGGGCCGTGGCACGCGATGCAGTCATCGCGTACACCCCGTAGGTGGGTGTAGTACCAGCCCTAGCGGGGCTTGGTGTGCGCTGGGATAGCACGGGCACCATGTATAGCGTGTAGTGCGGGCTCCCACAAGGGGGAGTGGGAGAGTGTCAGCCCAGGGGAAGGGTTGCCCCGGGCCATGGCACTCTGGTTGACCCCGTAGACACGTGATCCGGAGTGTCCACAGAGGGGGCCCCAAGTGGGGGGGCTAGGGGGCGATCACGTATCCGGGGAGAACTCTCGAGAGAGGGATCAAGAGGGAGCTAGAAGGCTCGCAAAGGTGGGCGGGGCCAAGGGCGGAGCGGCCCCGACCCAGGAGGATATAAGGCGGGTCCCTGAGAGGGACCGGGGTCGCTGCATTCTACAAGCTGAAGCTCCACATCTACAAGCTGGAAGCTCTGCGTCCTACGAGGCATCAAGACGTGGTCAGGACAGAAGTGAGGGTCTAACTCTTCGTAGCTGTAACTCCTACGTATAGAGTAGTTAGCTGGGTTGTCACCACCCTAGGCTGGATCTGGTGAAGGGGCAGTTACCCCTTTGTGTTAGGTGTTGATGTTACAATAAATGTGTTGCCTCTAAAGAACGTCTGCGACTCAGTTGGACTCACTATCCATGTACTAATGCAATTTGTCCTGGAATATTTTATTTATTTTTACACTAGCTTTACTACCCGGCTTCGCCCGAGACTTGGATTCTTGTCTTGGATTAATACACGGCCTACGCGGAGGGTTGGGGGAGGATGCGTGACGTCAGCAGGCACACTGCGTCACGCTGCCGCATGCGGGTGACATCACAGATGTGACGTCACCGCTCACTTGCCGTGCAAAATATATCCATTATTGCGCCCCCCCCCCCCCCCCCCCCCCCAAAATACAAGTCTATTTTTATACTTTTTGCATTGTGTACAGTCTGGAAGCTACCCACATGCCAAATTTCAAGTTTGTTGCATGTCGGGAAGTATGTTAAACATTTCAAACAGACGCACATATTCACAAATTTCCCTTTTATATATATTTATGTTGAGTGACTTGCTTAGATTTTCTCTACTTTGCACTCCTATATATTTTTTTATTGTTTATTGTTGTAACTAGCTGACCCGCCCCTACTGGACATATGTGAAAAAGAGCTTCACAGCTCATCGGGATTCTTCCAGGATAGATAAAGATTCAGATAAAGATTCTGAGATGAAAAGGCATTTTTTTAACTTACCGTAAAGTAAAAGTAAGCGAGCTTGGGCAAGACACAGAAGCAGAAGGGAAGATGGCCGGTGGTCAGCACTCATGAGGGATTGGCAGCCAAAGGAGGGAAATGCACCTGAGGGGAAGTCCACCACGGTAGAGCCGGATTTTCTTTTCCTTTCCCTCTTTCATCCCTGACCTTGCCTCCCGCATTTCTGACTGTTGAACCACTGTCCAATCCTGGACGTGACGCCGCGACCCCTCCATGAATCTTTTCTACAACTGAAATCCTTTTCTTCCCTTTATCCATGCTCTCCTCCACCATGGCTTTATTCCCTCCCTTCTCCCTCACTCACTCAGTCATTCCTGTCTCTTCTGCTCACAACCTTGGGGTCATCTTCTACTCCTCCCTCTCCAACCGCATCTCTGCCACTACCTGCACTCGCCGCCGTCACCTTGGCAACATTCGCAACATCTGTCCCCTCATCTCACTCTCTGCTGCTATACTCCTGGTTCACGCCCTCGGTTTCACTCAGCTCGACGACTGGAACTCTTCTTCTCGGCCTTCCCGTCGACTAAAAACTAAAAGCTATTTTTATTTTATCAGGTAAGGCTCACCGGGCTAAATAGCTCTTTTTAAGAAGCGACCTGCCGATCACAAATGATACCTCAACGAAGTGGCTTATCACGTAGAAATTTAGAGCAGCCAAATACTCTAAACGTGTGATGTTGATTCTACGGGGTGTTTCAAAAAGATGGACCCAATTTCAAAGCAGTATATTTCACGATGGCAACATGTTACAATTACACAAAAAGTTACAAACTGTTTAATGAGTTATCAAGTTTTACTAGCCATTTTATAAATGCTCGATGTGCCCTCCACCTGCTGTATGGACAACATCGAGACGATAGTTGAATTCATCTCAAGCGCCTCTCAAAGTGTCTTCTTCCATTGAAGTCACCGCTGCCGTAATTTTGTTTTTGAGGTCATCCAGATTAGTCGCTAATGGTGGCACTAAAAAAACACGGTCTTTGACGTATCCCCACAAGAAAAAGTCGCAGAGTGTGATGTCTGGGGATCTTGGGAGGCCAAGAGTGTAGCGCCAAGCCTTGGGGTCCCGTGCGACCTATCCAACGTTGAGGCTGTGTATCTTGTGAATGACTGAGGCTAGGGGCTGTTTGTGCGCTGGGAGAGGCATCTAGTGGTAATCATTTGAAACTCTATGCCCCGTCCTTTCAAGTGGTAAGAGTTTCATTCAATGGCAGTTCGTGGTTGCAGAGATATAGCGATTTCAAATCGGGTCCATATTTTGAATCACCCTGCAAATGTGGACGGAAAAATTGGAGGAACCGGAGAACAATCCACGTGACCAGTGCGAGAACATGCAAACTCCAAATATACAAGCATCATGGTCAGGATCGAACCCTCGACCTCCTGCATACGAGGCGAGGTAGTTAACATCTCCCCACCGTGGCGCCGACTCCTCTCCAACAGTAGATACAAAACGCCTCAGCCCGGATCATTTTTAACCTACCCCACAATTCCCACACGTCTACTCTCCCAACTCCACTGGCTCCCTGTCTACTATCGCTGTCCGTTTACATTTCTCACTCGAAGTCTATAAATCCCTCCAAGGTCTTGCCCCATCTCTCGTCGCTCACTCCTCTGTCCCACCCCATCCTCTCTGCTCCCAGGCTCTACCGCCCCTCTCTGTGCTTCCCTCGCTCTGCGCCCAGTCTTGCTCTCTCCTTCTTGTTCCCTTCTCACTCCCCTCCACCGGAACCAACTCCCACTGCAGCATAGAGCAATTGCCTTCACTATCACAACCTGTAGCTTCCATTCCTCCCTTAAAACAACCCCATCTCTTCTCCCCTAGCCCATCCTGTTATTGCAACTCCCTGCCCCCAACCCCCAGCTACGACCAGGCGTAGCCCAACCCCTATCACTAATCCTATAACTACCCCTAACACTACCCCAACCCCTATCACTACCCCTAGCACTACCCCAACCCCTATCGCTGCCCCTAGCACTACCCCAACCCCTATCGCTGCCCCTAGCACTACCCCAACCCCTATCACTACCACTAAAACTACCCCAACCCCCATCACTACCCCTAGCACTACCCCTACCCCTCCTTAACCACTCGCACTTGTCACCATAACTACACCACCACTTTTAATAACCCCACTCTTTATTTTAACCACTATCATCTTATGTAAACAATTACAAATATTGTAAAGAACCTTGGTCTCAGGCACTATGTAAATCTATACAAAATAAGATAAGGAGCTCTGTGGATTGTTATATCGCGGGACAGAGTGAGACGTGTTGATGAGGGTCTGAGTGGAATCTAGCGGCTGTGGTTGCACAGATGGAGGTATGCGGTCCCGCAGAGGTGAGATGTGTGGCATGAGAATGACGAGAGCTGAACAAAGCTGAGGTGTCACGCACTCACTCGAGTATTTAACTCGGTGCGTGTTTTGCCGATAAGAAGTAATTAGCTGGAGTGAGTTGGAACCAATCCATGCTGAAACTACATCACGGCAGGGTGTGCGAGTGCACGGACTGGGTGAGGCACAAAGAGTCAATGGTCAGAACAACGTTCCAAGTTCAGAAATAGAACTTTGATTTGGACTCGAGGAATACAATGAGTTAGGAAGCTCTTCTTCACAGACGTCCCATTTTCTTTCTGTGATTTCCTTTTTTAATCTTGAATGTTCGGGTGGAATTGTATTGTCACTTGTTGAACCAGCTCAGCCTAACACAAGACATCTCAATAATAAAAGGGTACCTGCCCTGGTAAAGGAAAGCCTCGTGATGACTCTATGATGAGGGCCTTACCTGTGCAGCTGGTGAATCTGCAATGCTTCTGGAAACGCTTCTCGTCGTATTTCAAAGCGCGGGGAACGCCTCTCCTTTGGCAAATACTTCACACTGTCGCTGAAACATGTAATTTAAAAAGAAAATATTTCAAACAAAGAAGCAATTTACAAAGCATATTTTGTCTACATACATAAATAATTCAATTGTGGGTCTGAGGTAAATTGCATCCTTAAAATTTTACTCAAATTCACCATAATAAATGACAGTTGAGATGTTCCACGTTTCAATCAGTATCTGTAAATGTCGGAGTATATAACGATTTGTTCCTGGGGGAAAAGGTACCCCATTAAGTGCGAGCGTTACTACCGTATAGACTGAACAGACTGTTGGGGCAAGTGCTGTTAGCGCCTATGAAGGCCGGAACGGCATACGAGGGGGTGTATAGCCAGCACCACGCCCGGCTGCCTTTGTCTCCCCAGTGGCGATGTTTACACAATGCCCCAGGCACTCATTTGAGGCTGAGTCGACCGAGGAGAGGCCCAGGACTGGTACAGATAATCGTTACTGGTGTTGGCTGTGAGCGAGAATCGAACTCGGGCTCACCGAGTTCGTAGCGCAGCACCCTAACCCGCTCCACTACCGCTCCCCACGCGTTACTACACACACACATTATTACACACACGTTTTGGTGAACCAGAGAACTCGAGCAAAATTAGTCTATTTTGGTATCTTTTAGTTCTCACTTGGTTAAACAAACCTCATGTTGACATACCTTGCACTCAGAAGGGTCCAGTCAGTGATTAACGGGACCCACTGGGGGTACACAGAAGATGAGTAATGTATCCGACGACTGAAATAAAAAAACAAAAATATTATCAATGGTGTTAAAATCCAAATGAGCAATTGCACCACTGTCTCAACTTTTATCAACCACGGCTCACAACGTTCATTTGGCTGCTGCTATAAATTTCCACGTGATAAGCAACTTCGTTGAGCTATCATTTGTGATATACAGGTCACTTCTGAAAAAGCTCAGTGGACCTTACCTGGTAAAATAAATATAGCTTATAGCTTTTTATAGTTTATAACCAACTATTTTTTTTTACTTTTCCATATTATTGGCATCATTATTATTACTACTACTACTAAGATTGTTTACCCATGAAGGCTCATGGCTATTGTTTTTACGGGGATGTTAGAACGTTTTTTTGCAGAGAGGGGCGATATTGCTGTTGTGTAATCTGAATTGTAGGTATCATTTTACAACATTGGAAATGTTTGGTCAAAACTTGGCAGGACCCTCCGTGACAAACGAATCTTGAGACTCGGTCCAGCTTTCCTGGGTAAACTCAGATAACAGCAATCAAGTTTAACATGTAGTTGGCTTTCAGGACCAATATTATCCAAAATAGACATTTTGTTTGAGTTAGATTGCCAGATAAGGCTGGTTGTAATCACCGGCGACACATCACGGTATTCAAATTGCAAATGATGCGGGTTTACTGAACAAGTAACTAATTGGCACGTTTAGTTTACGTGACAAACACTTACTAATTGGCCGTGTCAGGTAGTGACGGATTATAACGACACATTTGCGTGCTCTAACCCAAACCCCCCCCCCCTCTATGATGGATAAAAGTAATCGAAATATGTGACCCCCACGAGGCACAGTGTGGATAGCCCCTTATCCAGCAGTGGATTGACCAAGGGCTGTGTGTGTGCGCTGCTCCACCTGCCCCCACGTGACCGCTTACTGCTCTCTTGTCCTCTGCAAGGCCTCGTGGAAAAAGCTCATTCTGTCGCAGGGCAGCAAACTCCGTGTCGCCCTTCTCTGCTTCTCACTCTGGGACCTTAATTCCGAGTCCTGCATCATCATTATTCACCATCACGGATATAATAATGAATAAATGGGTCCCAGTAATTAAATGGAAATCTCACCACTTTAGTAGATTATGATAATCAGGTAAACCTCTATCGGACTTTTTTTGCCGGTATCAAAATGATGGGAAAAAAATATTTGCCAGAAAGGGTATAAAGCCTATTATTATGATTTTTTTTTCACCATTCAGTAAATATAATAAAATACAAAAATAAAATGGATAATATATCAACACAAAACAGGACATTAGAAAGCAAACTTCAAAATTAGGAGGATGCATAGTTGCTGCTCAATTAACTTATACATTAAAAGATTAATGAAAAACAACAATCGTATTAATAACACTTTAAGTCTACCGACACAAACAGTCAAAGAAGATCAATTATCCGATTACGCCAACCGTCCAACTATGCAGTCTTCGAGCTGTGAGGAGCGCAAAATTTCATAGATTAACTTTTAATACCAACGACTTTATTCAGTAATACTTTTGATTATGGAAGGGTGTGTCTGTTTCTCAAGAGCTACTATTCGGTATCTATTCATATGTCGATTTAGAAACTCGATATTGGAAAACATTCGTAAAATGTTAATCAGGCTCCATGGTGTAAAAGTGCAGTCTGCAACTCCTATTATTATTATCCAGTCTACCTGGCCCCTCTAGGCCTGTGTAAGGGATCTGCGAGCCATCCTCACGCACTCGCACCACGCAGGCATGAAATCTCCACACTCAGCATAGCACGCACCAATCACACGCACGGGAATCTACTAGACGGGGGTCAAGGATTAAAGGGCACTGACGTCACACAGACCCAGCATGCAAGACGGAGATGTGTATTGGGAACGAGGGCGGAGATGGAGGGTTTAAAAGGGGCTGCGATACGCGTGTTCCGGGTTGGTTTTAGGAACGAATGTGGCTGTGGGTTGAAGAATAAACAAGTGCGTAGCCAGTCTCCGACTCCTCTCCATCTGGTGGCAGCGGTGGGATGTCTCGCCTCAGCCAACGCAAGATCCCAAGGGAGGAGACTCAGCCAGAAGATGCTCTAGGTGCCCGAGACGAGATTTGCTCGGAAATGGAACCGACGAGTTGGGATTCGTCCCCATGCTCATCGGCGGGATCCGTGGCAGCTGCTCGTCCCGTGAGGGCACCTTCCTCCACCAACCCAGCCGTGCAGACCCAGCGCCGCCGTCGCCGCCGCAAATCATCCTCTAGGGATCGGAGGATGGATCAGCTGCTGGAGGCAGTAACCGCGTTGCTTCGCCGGTTGAGTCCCGAGGTCGAACGAGCGGGGGGAACTTCAGCTGCACCGCCTCCCCAGCGAGGGGACGGGAGCCATGGTTAGCCTTCCCGAACAGGCACTCCGCAGCAGCTATCAGGGGATGGAGCAGCACCAGCGACGTCGCCGACCGTGCGTCCCGTGCGGGACCTGGGAGAAAACTCTGGCCTGATCTCCCGATATCCGCCGACAGCAGCGGCAACCGGAAGACATAAATGACTAGAGCGCAGCGGAGAGCAGCTGACCAGGCAAGGGGCAAGGACAGAGGTTTGCGTCCAGATCGGGAGAATGGCACGCTTTCATCCGCCGGTTCGAGGCGGTTGTCCGGGCAATGAAGTGGACGGTGGAACAAGCTCTGACAATGCTGCCCACTGTGTTGGACGACCCCGCACTGGCAGTGTTCGACCGGATTCCGCCTGCAAAAAGAGGATCCCTGCAGGGCGTCTACAAGGAGATGGCAGAGGTGTTCGACTCTCCGTTCGGGGCGCGCCAGAAGTTTAAAAACCGCCAGCGGGAAGCATCAAAATCGCTTCTGGTCTTCAGGACGGAATTGTTGACGCTGGCAGAAGCCGCATTCCCGCGGCTCAACGAGCCGAGCCTGGACTCGCTGGTGGGGGAGCGGCTCCTTGCCATGGCACAGAAGGCGGGAGTGATGTTGCCGGTGGTGGAGGAGGTAAGCTCGCACCTCGTTATGGGTTGCATGACATCTCTGTGCTTATGAAGAGATGGCGGGACCCGCGCAAAGTGTGGCACACGTCGCATGGGATCGCGGTGACGTCGAGGGGTTGCAACGGCCCCCAACCAGACACGCGCCGCTGGCGGAGGAGGACGAGGTAGAGACGGTGGTGGCCCTGCGGCAGTATCCGAGGATCCCGCGGGAAGCGGAGCGCCGACTCTGGCGCTGGGCACCTCGCGTTGCAGGAGAGCATCCTCGTGTCACCGAAGAAGTCATCTGCCATTGCTGCGGTCATGAGGGACACATCCCCCGCGGATGCCGCAGCAGGACGAGTGCACCGGGGAGCCAAACTATGTGGCCGTCAGTCAGAGCCATTCCCTCTATACCTTGGGGTGTGACAGGGATGTTCTCTGGCTCCCACATTATTTAACATATCTTTTGAGCACGTAGTTCGTGAAGCCTTCAATGGCTGTACCGGAGGAATTACCATATGGAACAGATACAATGGGAGGCTGATCGATGCCAGATGCGGTCAAGGGATGCCTCCCTATTGCTCAACCATGTTATGTATGCCAATGCTCTGGTAATTGCTGATCACTCAGAGAAGGAGTTGGAGGCATTGCTGCTGAACCTGGAGCTTGCCACTAAGAGGTGGGGCCTTACCATCAGCTCCACCAAAACTAAGCACCTGCCTGGGTATTTTGTAAAATCGGACAATCCACCCCCACAACTCACAATTGGTGATGCGGCAGTTGTGGAGAGATCGGAGAGATTCCCATACCTGGCCAGTGTGCTCATGACCGGCTCCGGTTTAACAGCAGAGGTCTCACTCCAAATCAGTCGAGTGCCATTCTCTTTTCATCGGCTGCATTACGCTGTGTGGAAGCTACCTGGTCTCTCGCTGCGCATGAAGCTCCAGGTCTTCTCGGCCACGGTAATTCCCTCCCTTCTCTACACTTGCGAAGCGTGCACCCCCCTAATGGAACATTCGCCGGTTACAAACATTTAGGCTGGCCTGCTAACGATCCATCCTGGGTTTAACCATATGTGTGTGCGTCTAAGTCGATGTGTTTCTATGTGTGGGTCGATGTCTGTGTGTAAGTCCATGTGTGTGTCCGCCTTTTTCGCCCGGGCAACGCCAGGTACTTACCACTAGTGTACTATAAAAAAGGGCCATTGCCTGAAATGTCACGTCTTATATACTTTTCCTGCTAATGCGAGTGTTATTTCACGAATATGTTGAATTGTTTATTAACTAACACACCTGCATCCCTGTCTTTGCTCTCATTGCTCTCCTTGTCTTTCTTCTCTCTGTAACTGTCTCTCTCTGTGTCTGTCTCCATGTGTCTCAGTGCCTCTCACTTTTTGCCCATTTTTCTCATTCTCTAATGATATCTGTCTCTCTCACTGTCTCTCCTCATCTCATATATATTTGTATAACGCCTTAGTCCAAGGTGCTGTGCAGTAATTATAAAATTGCACATAAGATGATCGTGGTCAAAATAAAGAGTGGGTTTATTGAAAGTGGTGGTGTAGTTATGGTGACAGGACCGGTGGGAATGATTAATGAGGGGTTGGGGAAAACTGTATCTGACACTACAACACTTCAATATGCAATAAAAAAGTTCAATATAATTGTGAAAAAGTAAATAACCGATCGCAAATCGGACCCTATTTTCCCAAAGACAGAAATGTCACTTGCCGATGGGTTTTTCCTTTTATCAGCCACTTTCAACATCGGTTTAATAGGTTAACATCCACAAAAATACTTGAGAATGACAAAAGCTCCACGCCAAGTTGCATCGGAAACCAGACTGACTCTGTTTAAATGTGTTCGGAGTCATATTGGAAGATGCATTGTAAATGAAGTAAATCGATCCAAATGTTGCTTTGTATAAATTTCGTAAATGTGGACCGTCATAAATCGGATACCGCCTGTATATATGTTCAGTATGCCAGATACCTTGCTCTCTTCATCCCAGCTGTCCCCATCACTGTAGAGTTCCGTTATAGAGCCACATGTTCCGTCCTCAGGTATAAAGTCCTCATCTCTGGAATCATCAGTGAAGCTCTCTGCATGTTCCCCGCTCTCCAAAAATGCAGTGTGCTTGTCGCTTGATTTCTGTTGATATTATGAAACGTCCCGTACAAAAAAGATGTAGTAAAAAATCATGATTTAGTCAGGTATTGGAAGCATGAGACCTATTTTCATTTACAGTATTACAAGAGAGTCAATGTGTGAAAGCAAGATACACATTCGACTGTAAAATAACATGAAAGTACTTGTATAACTCGGCTGATCTCGTGGTGCCAAGGCTGACATACAATGTAGCAATCATCTTCCATACAACTGGTATCCTGGGGCCAAGACATATATAGGGGTATTTTTGTGTTTAGTTTGTTGTCCTTCCCCCTCACCTCCGATTAGCACGGTTGGCTATTTACAGTGCGAAAGAAGTTCAACATACATACAGACAGGTCTGGTACCGCAGGAATCCATACTCTTAAATAGGAATTCCATCCACGTCCGTGGATGGAATTCCTTTCCAGCTCAGACCCCGCTTGCTTTCCCATCGCCACATCTATAACCTTGTTGTAGCAGCTCTCTCGCTTGTTCAGCAGTTCCACTGCTGGATTATTTTTTCTGCCCGAGGACGACCGCTTGTGTTGCGATCGAAATGTCGTGATATATTATTTGTATTTTGTTTTATTTTTCTACCTACGTGACTTTACTGAAAGAACCAAAGAGTATAGGTCTGGTACCCTTAGGAGTTTGAAAGAGTGCAGAAGCATCTTCTTTCGCGCAGCTTACAGGCACACCATTATGGGCAGATCCAATGTTACGAACAACAACCATTTCTACACAATCAACGAATGTGGCCAAATATCCCGATGGACACAAAAAGTGCAATTAAAGGATGTCGTCAGGAAATGTGGCGAGGGCAAATTCTGCCCCAACGCTATTTATAAAAAGGTGTCAGTTTACATTCCAGGTTAATAATGTAAACTCTTTCCCATTCCAAGAGTCTGCAAGTTGCAGAGTGTGGGTGCCGTTCACCGCCTAATCTCGGAACGTGCAAGCGGCTCAGCGTTCATATTATTAATAGAGGCGTAGTGACGTTGTTTTTAAAGACATTGTTCCTCGCCACAGAGAACCGTAGCGACACAACCGCACTCTACGATAGCGAGCGCCAAGCTCTGCCACACGCCCTCACGCATGGCCTTGTGGGAGCCTCGATACTGATAACGTTATTTTAGTTTTCTTCTGGCTCCTTTCCTTCTGGTTCTTCCGATACCATTCCGATGACATACATGTATCCTGACATACACGTACGTCATTGGAATGAGAAAGGGTTTTAATTAGGTAGGCTTATCATACCGTTAATTTTAAAGGAAAACAATGACCAAAACTACAGAAAGTCTATCATGCAAACTTTGTGGGGCATTGACAAAAACTTAAAGCACAAACGTATCAAGTAAACCATGATACCTTCTGATCGTGATTGCAGTGTTGCACAACGTTTAAAGTGAACTGTGATACCTTCTTATCGTGATTGTAGTGTGGCACATCAGAGGCACTTGCTTCCTGTTGGGAGCCTTCCACGAGTAACAAATCCTGCAGGAACTTCTTGGCCCTACCGAGAGAGGGACATTGTTTAAACAGCAGCAGTAGCATCCATTCCCTTATTAATTTGTATATTTCTCTCACGAAATATATCTTTTTTTTTCTTTTTTGTTTGTTGAGACATGGGAAGCACACAAGCGGGAAAGATGAACGTGGAAATATATCTAAAAGCTGAGCAGTAGAAATCAATGAAGGTTAAGAAGTTAAAGCATCTTATAACATTTTTGAGACAATTACAAAAAAAACATTATGATGTACAAATACCAGGTCGATGTTCAAAGGAGACTGCGACCCTCAAAGGATTGGTGCCATCACCGTGGCCACCCCCATGGTCACCCCCGTGATATCCGTGGATCAAACAAATTATTCGAGACACTGGGGTATGGCAGCAAAATAGCAGTTTATGCGAATGCTGTCGCAAGAGGTCACACGTTTGGCACAACGGTACATCACTATGTGTGATGAATGAATTTGTATTTATTGACATTAAAGAAAACCAAAGGTCATGTACGCACATAACAGCAGCTTGTCGTTTTGGCCGGCCACCCTCTGCAGACGGTGACGCACTCTGGGGGATGCACTCAGCTTTCGTCGCAGATTTTTTCTTGTATTTCGGTTGCTTGACATC